GACTGCAATCAATCAGTATATTAATTATTAACAAATTTATCACATTCTTATCACTCATACGATTAATATAATTAGTAATCAATTTATAGTTTTATATAAACAAAAGTTAAATTTAGGTTTGATTTTCCATTTAAATAGAGCTATACAAATATTAAACCTAGAATATAGTTGACCTCGTCAATATAGTAAATGTTTAAGAATATTCAATAGAGTAAAAATTATATTAGATTATATAATAGATAATTATAATTTATAAACAATTAATAATTTTTAATAAAGAATTGAAATGATATACCACTTGACGTATGGACACAGATTATAAGAACCAGTTTTGCAGAAATTGCAGAGACGACAGGGCACAGTCGGCTCGACGGCCACTCTGTCGCCTACTTTCAAATGATTGACACCCTCTCCCACTTCCAGCACCAGAGCACACGTTTCGTGGCCTAAGATCAACGGGTCTTTGACCACAAAATGAGCGATCTTTCCGTGTTTCCAATAGTGATGGTCAGACCCACACAAACCCACGCATAAAGTCTTGAGTAAAACTTCTGTTTATTTTGAAACATACCATTAATTATTCTACAATTTTTCAGATATAAACAAACCGTTAGGTCCGGGCTTTTCGGGCATAGGTATGGTCTCCACCTGAAGGTCCAACACTTTTTTCAGAACTGCGGCCACATTTTTTGAAGTCATTTTTATTTGCAACCTATTAATTCAATTATTAGGCAAACTTTTAAAAATAAACTCAAAATCACTTTTAGCTAACTTTTCCAAAATTGACAAAATATTCTTAAAGATTTATCTTTTTATATAAAGTTTCAAAAGATTTCACAATTCATTCCCAATATAAGCCTTGAAATCAATTCCAACAGAAGTCGTATCACGTCTTTTATGATTATTTTGTAAAAATCCTTGAATTTCTATTTAAATTTCGCAAATCAATTATTTGCCATTTTTTGGTGTGACAAGAATCTAACAAAATCTCACAAGTTTTTCATTTGTTTTTAGTCTTATAAGTTGGATGAAACTACTACAAATGCTTGAAATTACCAAATCAATGGTATTTTAAATCGATTATTAAATATTGCGTTAACTTTAAACAAACTGTTGTATAATTATTATATATTAATTTATGTGGCGCTAAGAATATGTCCTTCAGATCTAATCACCAATCTAATCAAGTATTCACTAGTATTAGCTTATTAGTAATAATTTATAAATTATTAATCACTTATATAATGTACAGTACTAATGCATTTAATATATACCAGTAATAAAAATTTATTTTATAAAAATATATAATTTTGGTGTAAATTATATTTTAATTTCATAAACCCTATGGATATCAGATCAGCTAGGAAGTGTTTTGATACATGCAATTAAACTAACAGAGATATCGTTAAGACAACCATTGTTATTTTTATAATAATTTATAAATTATCATTTAAAACGAGTATGCTCATTTTAATTGCATAATTGAAAATTATTTGATTTCATTTCAGAAATTATATTTTGTAACTTATTATTATAGTTGAAATGAGTTTTAATAACAAATGTTTTCATTTACTGTGGTTTTGTTTTTAATCATTTATAACGGGATATTGACTGCAATATTTACTTAAATTATTTATACTTTCAATATTTATTCAAGTTAACGGATTTCAAAATAAAAGTATTAAATGATAAATATAATTCTTATTTGTAACAATACTTATAGACTTAATTTAGAAATGAGACCTCATTCAATCACCAATCATGATTCAGTATTCATTTATTGAGAATTATTAAATTTAATATTCATTTCATAATTGATTGATATTTATTATATAATTCATTGGTGAAACCAATATGGTATATCACAAAAAACCAGAGCTGAATTGTACTTTATAAGTTTGATTTCAAGCTATTCAATAAGTTTGATTTTTTTCTTAAGTTTGTGCTAATTCTTTAAAAAGTAAAAACTATTATTATTATAAATTCAACAATGTAATTTTTGTTTATTAAAAGTTCGAATGGTTTTATAGAACATTGATATCTTATTTTATTATTTATATAATAAAAAGTTGTTTGCAAACCAATTGTCATTTGATTAGATGAGAGATCAGTCTATTTGTTGAGTAAGCGAAGAGTCCATTGAAACAGCAAAATATAGAACATTGATATCTTATTTTATTATTTATATAATAAAAAGTTGTTTGCAAACCAATTGTCATTTGATTAGATGAGAGATCAGTCTATTTGTTGAGTAAGCGAAGAGTCCATTGAAACAGCAAATGAGAAATGTATGAATTGAGCGCTTCTTATAAGTGGTGTTCATATCCCAGGTTTTGGAGCTGAAGACAACTTTCAATTGTTTGACTCTATTATGAGCTCAAGTCTATCACAGACTTTCAATATTTAAATATTATTTATTAGTTCAATCTAAATATGTTACTAAAAAGTGTTAGAATTATAGCATTCATCGCTCTCTTCTTAGGTATGATATTTATGTTTTCATTATTACTGTTTTCATTTAATTAATTTTAATTAAATATTTTTATTTTAAATTTAATTCAAGTTCTCTTAATTAAGAATATTTCAATTGATATTTAATCACCTTGTTGATTTTTAATAATTCTAACAAATTCTGAGTTTCTTATTGATTATCTTCTTAATTCTGTTATAAATAAATTACCCAGAATTGAGTCAAACTCCATCTCATAAATAAGTAATTTAGAGTTCAAGTCGTGATCCAAACTGAGCTTTTGTGCCTCATTTTTATACATTTGTTTAAATGTTTCATAAACATTTTAATTATAAGATTTTTAAAACGAAAACTTTATTTTCAATTCTTTTATTGTTTATTTACTTAGATTAGTTTAAATTAATTTATAAATATATCTATTAATGATATTTAATAGTAAAAATAAATTTGTTATAATATAATGAATAAATAATTGAAATATAAATTAATGCCGAATACCAGAGACATATTTGGTTGGTTTGGTTCCCCTCTATTTACTGAAGAAATGGAATTCCAGAATATCTTCACACGACATACCCTTTGCTAATGAGTTGGAGGGGACGGGGAAGGAGAGGGCATCCCTTTCCTCGAATGCTGTCATTCAGATTCTGCTTCAATTCGGTGGAGGAGTTCTGTTCGCAACGGTTTTCACTCATTTAATACCAGAAATAAGAGAAAACTACGAAAACTATCTGAAAAGCAATGAATCCATTTTGAAAACTAATCAAAATGAGGATAAGAAGTCATATGAAATTCCTTACATCGAAGTCACCATTTGTTTGGGATTTTTCCTCATATTTCTTGTCGAAGAACTCATGCATTTGTTTCTCAACCGATTCCATGAACACCAAAACAAACACAACAACTGCTATAACAGGGACCTAATGGACCGGTGCTCCAGTCTATGTGCCGACAATACCGTTCAAACCGAGTCTAAGCCATTCTCCAGCGCTTTCGTCAATTATGGGGCCGACCTCTCGTCCACCAGTTTTGACACAAGTATTAAAAGATTAAATTTCATTAAACCGGACGTCACTACTAATGGTATTTCATCGGTTTGCGAGTCAACTGATCCGCATATTTCAAAATCAGTTCAAATGTCGTCTGAATCAGTGAATGCAAAGAATTCATTAATAGTAATGTTTTGTCGCGGTTTAGTCATTATATTTGCATTTTCTGTTCACTCAATATTTGATGGATTGGCGATTGGTTTGCAGACAACAGCCACCGACTTGTGGTCCATGTTTTTTGCCATATCTGTCCACAAACTTGTCATTGCGTTTGTGGTAAGCCTTCAACTCTTTGATCAGTCGCACCGAATACTTTTGGTGGCCATACATATGGCTATGTTTGCGATCATGTCTCCAATCGGCATATTAATTGTTATTTTGAGTGAGAATTCACTTTTGGGAGAAGATTCAGAAAGCAATCCAATAGTAATACTGTTGACATCGATAGCCACGGGAACGCTATTGTATATTATATTCTATGAGATTCTCCAGAAAGACCGGTGCGAACGCATATCAGGGTTCATACAATTCCTGTCTATTTTGGTTGGATTTTCTATTATGCTAACCATTAATATTCTTCTCTCAGAATAATAATAATCATTAATTTCTTAAATTATATTCAAGTGGAAAATTATTTAATTAATTAATGTCTATCGTAATCCTTACAAGTTGTTTATTTATTTGAAACATACTACCGATACATTTATTTGTATCATATACAATATCTATCAAAATCTAAATATTAAGAATGTTAAACTTTGTTTACTAAATAAACTAGGTTAGCCTCCAATCAATTGATTTGGGGTTAAAGTTCGTGTGGAAATTTTTGTTCAATAAAATGATGTTTTTGAGAAGTAAATTCTTGTATGAAATAATTGTATTTCTATCAAATAGTTTCAAAACTTACAGTAAAATTTGTCATGTATTTATTTTGCAGCAGTTATTTGTAAATGATATATAGTTTGTTTAAACTTTCATAAATTTGTAGAAATAAAAAAATATTATTAACTTAAATGAAATTTTTATTATATTACATATATAATTAAATATTAATGTTTACGATTGAGTAATAATAATTGTTTTAATAATAAATACACTGATAAAAGTTATTTATAGATTATAGAAATATTACAACACGATTAGTTTTATAATAGAAGAAAACAAAATTATAAAAAATTTTACATCAACATTATAAACAATTTTAATAAAATTATCCTTCAAAATGTAAGTGTGCATAAGATTTGTGTCAATTGCCGCCATCCGGTCCCTTATTTAATCAATTAATTTGCTAGTTAAGATTTAATATTGTATACCAATTGATCAATATAGTTTATATCTAAAAATAGGTCTCCCAATTGATTAGTCACATTAGAACCACATTTTAAATATCAGTTTTAAATGCTTATGTAAATGAACAGTATATTTGTAGTGATTGTTAATTTATTTTTAGTTTTTATTAAACAATTTAATGAATTAATAAACAAAATGAATGAGAGTGTAATTAATTGAGTACTTCAACATATAAGATTACAATAAATTTACTTATTGTATACTACTGAACCTTTAAATGTGTTTTAAGTAAAAATCGTATTATATTTGTATATAAAAGTTTTGTAAATATTAGTTATATGTTAAAAAATTTGTTAGAATATAATATCTTAAATTAACAAAACGAACGTAAAATTTAATGTAATTATGAACTAATAAAATATTATTAAACAAATGAGAATGAAATGTATTATAAAATGAATATAAAAAACATTAAATACAAAGACATTTACTATAATTTACATTATATGTGCAAATAATACATCAATTTTATTGCTCTCTCGAATACTTTTTAACCAAAAAATTTAATAAAATCTCAAT